AATTCACTATTGAGTACTCTGTCGGTAATTTGGACTCAACCAACAAGTTGTCAAGTTAAGAGGATGGATTATACTCATTGGAACTACTCTCTCCCTCAGCATTCTGTCATCAATCATACCATCAATCAACAGTGTGTTTGAGAGTGGGGTTCCCAAACCCCGGGGGGTCGCCAGGAGGCACTACAGGGGTCAAGTTACCATGAAAATGGAACAAAAATCAAAAGATAGCCTTATTAGTTTTTGTTTCTTTTACTTCTTTTAAGATGCTACTTATCACTACTTATTGAAATCAATCTTTTAATCCAAAAATGTACACACCCCAAAAGACATACTGAATAACAAGAAAGAAAATCTCTAAAAAACAACAATTTTTGTGGTGTTTATAAGACAGTAATGATAAAAGATCTTTCCATAAATAAGACATTGAATGAAATGAAGGAATAGAAGATTGTTGACTGTTACTAGAAGGTAAGGAAACTTGTTAAAAAGTTGTATGTCTTTAAAAAATCTTGCAAGAGGTGGGTCTCAGACAGAGGCTAATGCTACAAGGGGGTACTTGGCAAGGTCAAGTTTGGGAAATCCTGAGCTAGTGTGGTTTTAAAGTGTTGTAAACTGTTTTTACTTTTTGATGTGTTTTTAAGTTTTCTTTTTAATGAGGTAAAGAAATTTGAATGAAAGTGCTTTATACATAAATGTATTATTAGTATTATAATGCACATATGTAAATAAACTCTTTCTAAGGTTGTCTTTATGTTTTCTGTCAAATCAGAGGGACACGCCCACAGATTATGGGCTCATGTTTCGTTGTTTTTTTTGTCTGACATTGTACACACAGTTCAAATATCTTAGACAATACAAAGAAAGCAGAACGTTTTCTTCTAAGTATACATTACATGAATACACTGAGTTTGTACTTTGGGAACAATCCTGCTCACACATTTAGCTCAACACAATGGTTGTCGTACTAAATCCACCTCACAGTACTTTCTTTGATATTTAAAAAAATTACCCATAGATTTTTATCTCCAATCATTTTTTAGATTCTGTTTATATGCTCTGGTAACCACAAGACTCCAGCACAACCTTTTTCAGTGTACTTTGACAAACTGTGTGTACCCTGTAAGGAAGTCACCGTTGTTACATGCGGATTGACCTAAGGGGAAGACAGCTCTATTCTGTCTCTCTCTCTCTCTTGTGTGCATGTAAGGCAGGATGTCAGGTCGCTCCTGGGTCTGATCCCAAGTCCCTGGCTTTGATTTTGAGGACTTTGAAGCCTAGTGTCAAGCATCAAAGAAAGTGGGACTGCATGGGCTGCACCCTAACCGTCTGTCCTGAGGAGGAGGGGGAGCAGCTGATGTGCAAGGTGTGACTAGACACTTTTTTTTTTTTTTACAAGAGAACTCAGGGTGCTACGGAGGTTCAGTGTGAGAGAAAGGATGAAGAGGTGGGCAGGAGACCATAGAGCCTATTTGGATCTCAGAACCCCGGGGCGGCGTGATGAGTCAGTTTCTGGCTCCCACTCCTCACAAACATTACCACCACACACACACACACACACACAATCCACTAGCCAGAAGTAAACACACACAGAACCAGACACACACAAAGAACTGGGTCCACACAGATGTACCCACACTGCACTTCAGACTAAAGTAATGCAGCGCTGAAAGCTTTTCCTAAATTCTGATTGGATGTAGTCACAATGGGGGTCGAAGCTCCAAACTTTTGAGCACTGTTTCCATGGCAATAGGTTCTGACATCTCCTGTCGTGACATGATGTTTATTACAAAGACCAGGGGGGTTTGCTCAGGAAAATTTTTTAACACTGACAGTTGAAGAAGCCCGTCAGAACATCCGGATCAAAAAAAGAAAAAAAAAAAAAGAATAAACAACACACATTACAAACGCTGGTGGAGCTCTACGACTTCAGGCAAAAAAAAAATGAACTCAAGTGACCTCATCTGAGAGCGGTGGGAGATACAGTCTTTTAACCGTGCACAAAAACCACTGACGTATTTTGATTTTGGCGCATCAAGCCCTGAGGAATATTTCCTCTTAGATAATTGGGGTACAATGTGTCGATAATGAGGCAAATTGGGGGTTTTTGTGGGAGATAATTTGCATCCTCATTAGGGTAGTCATTTAGACACAAATGCAGCGATATTTAGTTATCTTACCTTAAACGCATATGTTTCTATCTGACTCTGAAAAATAAGATCTGTGGAATGCACTCAGGGTGAATCTGTCCAATTAAAGTACGCAGTAATACATTTTTTACATTCCCTCAGAGACAAATCAGTGATTGCAACACGTTTTGTCATCATTGTCGTCGCCGCACTAGCTTTGACATTTAAGCTTTAGATGCAGTAAAAGATGTGAACGTGTATTTATTTTCAAAATCCTCTGAGGTTTATTCGGGTTCAGCACAGATCCACAGCAGGGGTGATTGACACAAGAGGGTGGGCGGGTGCCAATACTTACTGTTGCCTTCAAATGAATAGAGGAACTTAAGTGACCTCAGACAAGCCAGTGTTAGGGCAACTGTGAATGGCAGATGGCAGCACCTAGCAACATCTCCCAGAGAAAAAACATGCAGTGTCCTTCAAATGATGCTGTTTGAAAATATCCCTGCTTATGAATCAAAGCAAAGGATATCAATGCAAGTTAATGCAGAAATGTATGAATGAACTCTCATTGTCTCCTGCTTCAATACTGCAGTATAAAGAAAATCATAGGCAGCAGACAGCATAACTTATTTAAACCAGAAGCAATGCTCGACAGCTTTCAGAGACAAAGCAACAAGGCTGCTCGGTACAGAAAATGCTGAGGATATATCAGATAGTTTACATTATATATGTCAGTGTTGAATTAGGGGAAGACGTTTTAAAGGGAAAATATTATTCAAAATGTTTTTCAAACACTAATATGTGTAACTAGTCTGTCTGCAAACCCCGCAATTATGTCCAGTCCATTCTCTCCGTCTTTTGCCTGCTCCACTTTTCAGAGAAGGGCAGTAACCCCCCCCCACAGCTAGGTGTTTGTTTTGCCCTCTGATTCCACCATTCCACTGTCAAACAATATGGCATGGTGCAAGAAAGCCGAGCCACATCCCCTTCCAGCGAGGGGCTCATGGTCAAACCCAGCTCTTGCATTTAAAGCTACAGACGCAGAAACAGCCTGCTCTGAGCAGGGCTGATATAGAGGGGTTTTATAGACCTGATCAAATACAGGATCAGAGTGGATTTTTTTAGCAAGAAACTTCACAGACATGTTTTGGGGACCTCTGAGACTTATTTAAAGTGGTTGAAAAGGAGGATAATATGTGACCTTTAAAGTTTCACAATAGCAAATGAGATCCAAGTTTATTCAATTAATTGAATGAAAGTAAGAATGTGTTTTTGCCAGTCAGCCACACTTGTTTTACTGCCACAGGAGCACCTTCAATCTTCATCTAAAGGTTCCAGTGCAATAAGAACAGACTTGATGACTTTGCAAATATATGTTTTGGATTTTAACCAGCATCAGTGCAGTGACATGATGCAGTAAGATGAGTAATAAATACGAGTAATTTAGCTCTGCAGGGATCAAGCACATTTGTGCTTAAAATAAACTTTCTCTGATGAATCATCTGGATTGTAATGATGTTTTGTCCAGCAGGTGGCAGCAGAGGATTGGGGTTTGCATATGAATTGATCAAACTTAAGGCGAATAAAGGTATATATATATTCCATGATTAAAGGATATTGCTACAAACATTGGTAATGTTTCATCATTAGAAACTGTAACAATGAATATGGATGATATGGATGAATAACAAGGAGTGCCTGAACCAGGATCTGGCTTGTTTTATATTGATAGAAATGATTTATTATATTAATTTATATTGTTTTATACAAGGTTGAACAGAGCAAATTCTGTAGACTTGATCTGAGACTTGGACAAAGACGTTTCTAAAGAAGTTTACTAAATTAAGAATTTTGAGGGAATTTATTTGACTAAATCTCTATGCCTTCACACTTCAGACTCAACACCAATGACATGTTTTTTCAACTGTGACTTATTAAGACCTAAAGGCAACCCCCAGAATTAAAAAAATGAAGCCAGTGCAGAAGAGAAAGAACCTGGGGTGTTTACTTGAGGCTGGCTATGCCACTTTGTCCATGTTCAAAGTTTGAGAATCTGGGTAAATTCTTCCAGTGACACAGGATGCAAGCACTTCTCAGAGCCTCGACTGTCTGCAACGGCTTGTGATGAGTGTTTGTTGGTAACTATTTATACAAGAGTGACACTTAAAATCAAGGGCAGAGGTTTTGTTTCAACAACTTTGGGGTTGTGCTTCGAACACGTTTCCCTGTTGTTTGATAGGAACATAAATATTGGGTATAAATTAAGTATGCACTGCTTTAACCAGCCTTTTAAATTGATTTTTATGTGTAAATGGAATCCAACAATTAAGTTGCAAGGGCACTGATAATTCCTATGTTTGTAATGTAGATTAACTGCAGTGTGGCATGTTGGAGGGAAAGAGGGTGTGTGTATGCATATGGACAGCATGGACGCAAAGCAAAAGATAACTCTACAATGAGTCATGTTGTAATGCTGTTAATAAATATGTATTTAACAAAGTGTATGAATTAAACTGTAGACTGGAGTCTGTGACTCAGTGACAGCTGCCCTAACAGAACGACTCGCCCCGCAATTTTTAAGTGGCAGTTACACATTGCCTTTTTTTGGCCGGAGGGGGAACAACATTATTGGTAAGAAAGCTTCAATTTTTGTTTGTGTCCCAACCACCTTTACAAACAAAGAAACACAATAGACTTTTCCAGTGTGTGTCAAATGATCACCTGTCGTCCTCAGCCTCCTCTCTTCTGATGTAGAAACTGATGCTAACCTCACAACGCAGAAAACAGCAGCCTCATGTCCTTCAGAGAGACATTTGTTGTGTTCACCAGGAGTGCTGCAGGGGGGAAGGGCACAAATGACAACTCACCGAACAGTTTTCTTAGGATGAAAATATAAAACTCACATGTTCTCTTTATTTGCTGTATATAGATAGATGTACACCACTGGATATTTGGATAAAAGCACACATAAAAAGCTCATGTATGTAGAAACTTAACACGTCTGAAGATGGAAAACAAAATAACGGAGAAGAGGCCAGATTACAAATAGATTAATAAAAATAAAAAAAACTATCCAAATTCTAGTTGGTTTCTAAACGGAGACTGTCCCATGTATTGAAGTCTGTGCCACATACCAAGTGTGTCTCCAGTAGCTAATATCCTCTGTATTCTGTACACAGAGTATTTGGTACAAAATATGAAATCTACCATTCAATAATAGTTATAACATAACATTAAAGTACTTTATATGTACAATAGATGAAGCCTTTTAGTATGAGCTGATACTAAAATGCTTCTTGTTTTTTTTTTTTTTTTACAAAGAAAACAAAGCTTATGTAAGATGAAGAGAGCTCCAACGAAGCCAATATTAAAGCCATTTCAAGAAGAACAACAGTCACCAATGGGACACTCCTGTGTGACAAGTAACACACTCAGGATGCAGAATCATTCTCTTTCTTTTCATCAAAAACCAGGGTAAGGAGGGGATGAGGGTTTTTGTGAAATCCTTCGGTGAATGTTGCTCTTCAAGACAAACGTGGCGAAAACGTAACATCGTGACAGCAGTAGTATTATTATTTACAATTTGCACATTCAGTTGAAACACTGATGAGAGCTTCTACAGGCAAAGGAAGAATAAAATCACAACAACAACAAAAAAGAAGTCGCAAGCATCCAGAAGCAGATCAAACAGATGTCCACAGAACAAGCCCTACGGGAGGGAGGGGGGGGAGGAGGAGTAGGATTTCACTGAACCACTTGGCTTCACAGCCAGAGTGCAGGTCATGGCAGAGGTGGTCGAACTATGTCACAAATATAAAGGGGAATGGGGCAGTGGAGGGGGGGGGGGGGCACAGAATGGGGAAAGTCACAATGGGAGGTGATTTCCTCTCCTGTGGAGGCTAGCTCTTATCGACAGGCACCCAAAGGAGGTGACCCCGCCGCACACAACAACAGACAGCATCAAGGATTTCAATTCTTTTACAAGGTGTTTTTCTGGTTTTTTTTTTGTTGTTTTTTTAAATTGCGTTTCTATTTTCTTTCAAGTTTTTTCAGGAAGTGCTTCATTGCTGAAGGGGTTTAGGGCGACCACTCTGCTTTTCTTCTTTTGAGCATTACCCAGACGTGTTTCTTGAAACAAATGTTCCTTTTTTTTTTTTTATTAATGATCTGGCATTTTAGCTCATGCTGCTACTCGATTCTCAGTTGAGCAATTTTCCCCTTAGACTATAAAAGGCACTGTGAAAAAGCAAGGCTCATGTTTGACCTCTTCAAACCAAACACACCTCATGTAATAAGCAGTCAAATCCCCCAACAAGTGTTTTATAAATAAAAGGGTCTTGCTTGCTTGAGAAGAAAAGAAAGCGATCAATTCCAGCAGTTTCTGCCCCGTTTGTCTGGCCCGTGTAACAGCGTGGACCCATCCAGGTGACTAATCTACACTTGAAATAACAAACCATGGAACCATTCAAGCTGCCGACACTCACTGCTACCTGTTTGAACTTATTGCCTACACAAGAAACATGTTTTGTTTTTCAGAAAAGGGACTGAACTAATGACAGATGTTGGCATTCAGCTAGACTTTTAAATAGGAATAAAAATCAACCAGCACTCCTTGATGAACACTTTTAATCCAGAAGACCGCCCTGTTCTGATTCACAGAATGATCAATAAATCTTCACAGCTAATGGACAAATTAGCTGTGAAATAAAGACAATTTCAAACAGAAATGTTTTATGGATAGGAGGGGTGTCTGAGCTAAGAATAGCTTCAAATATAGCATGTAGGGGAAAAATATAAACACCTGTCCTGTTCCAATGTCATGAGAAAATAGCTGATTTGTAATATATAGAAAAAAACTGATATTTTCTATATAGATATTTTTTTAATTACAGGTTAAACCAAAGATGTCCTCAGTGAAGGGAGTTTATATTATACAAACAAGCACATGACATTTATAAAGAAGAGGCAAGAGGAGAAGACCGCTCCCACACACACTCACACACAAATAACAGAACACCTGAGAGAAATGACCAGAAGGAGGCAGCATAGCACCGCCGAAAAAACACAACAAGTTAAGAGGATAGGAAATAAAGAGAAACGAGGGAGAAAAAGAGAGATGACAAGACTACAGTATCTTGGGTGAAGTTCAGAGCCTGGTGCATGTGGCGGTCTTGACCATCCAGCACCTTTTGTCCTGATGTAGCCCAGCAGGCTAAGCTGTGTAACTGTAGACATTTTCTGTGTCATGTGGAGCTGGGGCAGTTCAGTTCTGGGTTTGTGCTGGTCTGGACTGAGATACCAGAGATGTGTTGTTGTGCTGGCCTCTGTGGGCCTGTGGTTCTTCTGTGGATGCTGTTGCTGCTGGTTTAGGGTGGATCTCGGCTGGCCTCCTAGTGGCCATCATGCGTTGTCAACATCTCCTCAGCCCTCCTGTGCAACTCCAGTGCTGTGACAGTGCAGATGTCCCTGGGGAGTTCTGATTTCCTCCGCACCAACGGGCGTTCTCTTCGCTGATCTTTTTGAATCTGAACATGTGGAGACAAGTGTACATGATAAACTAAATTTAGTATGATAAGATAAATGCCAACATAAGCAAGCATTATAATACTTTCCTATGATTGAAAAGAGCGTGACTTGCAAAGGCGGCAGAATAATTTGAAGGCAAATAACTTTTCTCAACAGTTCAGTTACTTTTGAAATCATACTGACAAAAGAAATGCTTTATGAGACAGAGTGAAGCAAACAGTGAGATGGCCTTGAATGTTAAAGTTCAGGCTTGATACAAATTTAATTAATTTTTTTTTAATCACAAGTTTCACTTAGAGATGATCTAACTCATCAGAAATAGAAGGTGTGTATAAGTCGGCCTATTTCAGATTGTGTTCAGTATTAGAAGAAGCTTTATTGGCCAGGTATGCATGCACACATTACTTCTGGTTTTCACACACAGTTCAGCTATTTGCAAGTAAAATGAACAGGCTCGAAGTGAGAAAACCTGCACATAAAAAAACAGCAAGTTTTGACAAGAGAATTAAGTTGTGCAATTAGGCAGGCTTTGAATCTTTTATCCACCAGACCTGTATGTCTTTTAATGTTTTATGTAATCATTTCTATAATGATTAATTTCATGTAATGCCACTGCTGGCCAAGTTCACAATGTTTTGATCAGGTTTGATAGTTATAGATCGACTGAAAAGACCTCCTTATTAGTGTTAGCCAGAAAAGACATGCAAGTAGAAAATTATAGGCGTGTTACTCAAAACTTACAGTAAACAACAGTGGACAAATGCACATCCACAAATCCTTGCCTTACACATCAAGGCTACTCTGATTCTTCATTCCTGACCTGTGTGGCTTCTTCTTCTACGGTTTTCTTGAGGAGGTTGACATCATCAAGCAGCGGCCCATCTGTCTCCATATCTATTGGACCGTCTGGACCCATAGAGTCGATGTATATCAGAAACTGTGCAGAGAGAGGAGAAGAGGAGGCATTACATCACTGAGATAAACAAGACGACACGCCCATTTTAAATACAAAACCAATGTAGTTCAGTGCCTCGCTCGTCAATGTTGCTTCTCCGTAGCGACAAATCACAATCGAGGGGGAGGGGGGCTTCTGATATCAGCTTTGTCAAAAACAATGGCAGAGGAGACGCTAGTCTGACTCAACCTTCTCAAGGGTGCAATGTCCAGGTCTACAGTCATTTCTTGACATTGTTGAGCCATATGTGCCATACTCTGACATCTAGAGTTTATAATGGTTACTGCTGTCCAAATTCAAAAACACTGAAGAGAGTTGTCTCCTCTCCACTCGGGATCTCTTACATGTTACACCTTTTAGCACACAGAGCTATCTAATACACACCTCACGGTCATTACTGGGGGAAATAGAGGTTAAGTTTTGTAACCTAGCAACAATAGGCGTTGGTGAGAAGCCCTCTGAAACTGAGGTTGTGAGTGATGCCAGCGTAAAAAGCAGCAGTAACGGACACAGGCCCTACATCTAAAACCAACTCTAAAATTTATATTGATTTACATTCCGATACATTTTGAGGAACTTAAAGCCACTTTGCTCTTATTCCAGCATCTACATTCATGAAGATTCTTCAGCTCTACCTTTGTTGGCTATAAAGGTGTATGTTGCAAACTCTGAGTGAAATTGTACAGAGGCCATTTTGGAATACATCATCTGCCCATAAAATATGTGTATGCAGAATTTACACATTATGAAGTGACAGCTCTTTTCTCACCTGTGGGTTTGATTTTGCAAGGTTCTCAATCTTCAGCCACGCTTCCTCTCTCTCTTTCCATTTGGCCTTCTCTCTGAGACAACAAACAACCCACAGCGATTCATTAGAGAAGGCATCATGGAGGGTAAATACAATAAAATACACTGATGTCACAAATCACAAGTTTATGGTTGAGTTTACTTTCTGTCCTGCTATCCAACTTAGCCATGTTTTCCCACTGTAATAATGTCTAAATATTTTCTTTGTATCCTGTAATAGACCAGAAAAGCCATGTGTGACGTCTCACTGGTGACTTACTTGCTCTTCTCGGCTCTGAATTGTTGGGTGCAGTCATCAAACAGCTTCTGGTTCATCTCCATAAAGAGTTTGAGAGCGTTGTAGATCAAACCATGGATCGTCCTACAGACAGAGATTACAGGGTCACTGAAATGTACCTATATGGTTTAAAACCTCCCACTATGAGGCAGATAGCAGAGATAGACGATGAGGGATTGCCTGAGTGCTAACTCACTTGTTCCAGTGGGTCTTGGAGTTGCGGTAGAGGGAGGGGAACATGATGGGCAGGATCTTGGCGGCATTGTCGCTGATCAGGCTCATGATGTACTCGTTGTTCCAGTAGTACAGGGCCCGTTCTGCCACCTAATGTCACAAAACCGTGTTCACAACAAGGTCACATGCATAACAGAAACATACTAAACAATATTATACATGGACTGGGATTAAAGTCAGACCTGAAAGTGCGGGCTGGACACACACTTGGCCAGCTGCCTGAAGAGAGGCTCCATGACTTTGACAAACTCTGTGGGTTCGATGACGTCCAGGATCTCCTCCAGCTCATTGAGGAACATCACCTCTTTTGGACTGTGGGTCTTTGGCCAATACTTTAACAAAGCCATCACGGTCTGCAGAAAAAAATTCAGGATACTTAATAAAGAGAAGCAGGATGTGTGGAAAGCTGATCTGCCTAACTAATAATCTGTCGCTGAAGTACAACAGGAGGAGGCATTTGAAAAGATCCATATAAAGCCAAATGGTTTACATCCTATTTTCCCTTTCCAATTGGATCTTTCTTTTCTTAATAACTACGATATGTGATTCCCTGCTCTTTCCTCAAACTTCAAAATTATACAAACACGTTATCTCAAAGACCTTATTCTTAAATTATAAAAGTGTACTGGGGGAATCTAATTTGAAATGAGACCAGGAAGAAAATGTCAGAAACTAGGGTTTTGCAGACAGAGTTGTTGGGTTCATAGAGTCAGTTAACTAATCTGGAGCAGACAGGATGTTGGAGGATAATTCCATAAACAACTTTAACAACATAACATCATTAATACATTCTGTCTTACCGGTTCTGTGAGGGTGCTATCCTTTTCTAAGAACTGAACCACACAGTAGGCCAACTGCAGAGAGAAAAACAACCTGATGTTACCACTTCTAAGAAAACCGCCGTTCTGTGCTCAAGTGACTGAAGCCTGACGAAGTCGTTACCTGTGGGTGATATACACTGAGAGACTTGACTTTGTGTAGAGGCAGTAGAACTTTGAGAAGGAATATCTTGTGCTCTTCTTTTAGTGGTAATGCAAATCCATTGATTATGCTGCAAGAGGAAACATGGTAGTCATTGTGAGAAAAAGTCATACTGCGTGGAGCCTGAAATAAACATGATTGTAAACATTTAGGTTGTTCAGTTAAACGCATAATTGGAAGTAAACCAACCATGTATTCTGTGAACCACAAATGTCAGAAAAGCTTGATTCCTGCGCTGTTCTAAAACATCTTACCTGCCTAATATTTCCAGTAATTCTGCTATTCCATTATGATGTTCAGTCTCATAAATGAAGCTGAAAAATAAAGACAAAGTGATGCATCATGGTGGTACATTGAACAAAAATTACTCCATTACTTACAAACACCACACAAGAGTAGCCAACGTAATCACTCACCTATAAAATATGTTATTTATCTGTTTCCTAATGTACGCTCGAAGGCCCAGGAACTTTCCATAGATGCGATGTAGAGTGGTCTTTAAAAAATCTCTTTCCCTTGGGTCTTCACTGTCAAACAGATCTAAGAGCTGTGAATAAAAAAAAAAAAAAGAGGTTCCTGAGACGCCATGGAGCGACTTCAACAAACGACCAAACATAAACATCTATTCAAAGAGAATCAAGCGACCCATTGTTTTCAACGTGGCCTCACCTGCATTACAAACTTCTGGTCGATATACTTTTTGGCTATGTTTGGCTGAAAGTCCGGAGACTCTAAGAACCGTAGGAAGAATTCATAGACGAGCTGTGAACAGAGGAGCAGAGGTTAAATGTCTTGAGCACAACAGAAGGAGTTCTTTTCGTTCTTGCTGGTTTATAGAATCTGTGTGTGAGCGGTGTACCTGTAGATGAGGCCATGCAGCCTCTAGCGTGGGCTCGTCCTCCTCTGGGTCAAACTCTGCACCCGTGGGGTTTGATGATGGCGGCAACGTCCTGAACATATTCACTAGAAACTGGGAACAAGTAAGAGAGAAAAATGTAGGTCAGCTCAAGAGTACACTGGAAAAGAGTCATCATTTAAGCTACTGAAACACATTTCAATTTAGAGATGCAACAAATGAATCCATAAGATGTAAGTTATCTACAGCAAAATATTTCAATAAACAATTCATCAGTTAAAGCTGTTTTCTTGGAGAAAACAAACATTTCCATGCTGCAATTGTTGGCCTCTACCATCCATTCAAGGTGCAGTTTTTATCAATTCAATTTGTGTTTCCACATTAACCAGGGTGAGTATGGGGCAGCTGGGGCTCAGGAGGCAGACTAGGTCTGCATCAGCATCGCTCTCAGGCTCTTCCAGTCCAAAACTGATAATGTTTAATCGTTATTATCCTTCTACAGCACAGTCAAAAGTGCATCAATGTGACTGAATGGGTTCATGCTGACGTAGTGAAAAGCACTTTAAGTGGTTGGAAGACTACATAAGTGTAGTACTATGATTAAAATAAATCATGAAATACAATAACACTTCAGTCGACGTTTGGATCACATATTTTTTAACAAATATGCTGACATGTTGCTGCAGAGTTTATACAAGACATCTGAAGAAGTCATGACTCTAAGAAGCTGAATGCACATGCTGGAAGCAGAGGATATTGGATCATTTTTTAAAGTGACACAGGAAGCTCGGTAAGTAGAACAACTGTGAGTAACAGTAAACACTCTGTACTGACCGGCCTTTTTAACTGCAACAACAAGGTGAAAAACAACTGCTTTCTCCACACTCTCGTAAATATTAACTCTTGTTCTTCAGTTTGTCACTGGACAACCAACGGGTAAACGTTTGCTTGTTAATCAGTTCTGACAGCTCCAACAGTAAACATGATGAATGAGCTCAGAAATATATCAGCCACAGTATTTGAATAGCAAGCTCTGTAACAGAGTTTAAGTTTACGGATACAGACTGCAGCAGGCTGTTACATTACTGAGGATTCATTTATGATTGTTGTCACCCCTAACCACCAGCTGATACCTGAATGACACGCTTAAATGAAACGGAGAAAAGTAGAATGATCTCACACGAGACGCAGGAGGATTTCAATCAGTTTGTTGTTGTTTTTTCTACAACGGTAGTTAAGGCAGAGAGCGTGTTGTTAAAGTGCACGACGAAACACTAAAACAAGGTTGTTCACAATCTTAAACAATATTACTCAAACAAACAAGAAGAAGTTGTTAGGGAGTTTAAAAAAAAAAGAGGAAAACCAGTTTTTTTGCTACATCTTTGACACGCCTCAAAATAACCTGGGATATGCTGTCTGTCTTACTCTACAGATCACACTATCAATACAGGGTAAAACAAACTCTGGCTCTATGGGACGTAGCCCTACTGCCTTTTTATGCTTCCGAGAAAGAAACATTCTTTTTACATAACTTGACCTAATAATGATTTCAAGTACGCCACTAATTTCCCAAAGGTCTTCCACAATCTAAGTCAATGGAAACAATTTGTCAACCTGAGTAAAAATTCAATTTACTCATCTTCCTAATCAATGCTACCTGGGAAATGTTTCATTTTAAAAGTTTGAACTTATTAGTGGCTGACTATACCCTTCCCTTTTGCTTGTCTGAGTCTTTTCACTGCCAATATCATTCCACAAACTGGAAATCAACTCATCTTCCTTCTTCAGCTAGAAACTCCCACCAGAGAGCAAAAAGTCACTCTTTCACCATCATGTTTATGTTCTTGGCAGAAACCTGTTCTTACTTCCCACCAGACAATAAGACTTGTAGCACAACCATCCAAAACACTGTCCTAAAGCTTGAACGCTAAGGCACCAAACGAGGGCTTATGGGAGAAAATGATAAGTACAGTCTTAACATAAGAATACACTCTTTATGCTCTAAAGGAGTTTGTTGTGTCCATCTTCGTACTTTGATGATGAAAGCATCAGTGGACTTCAAAGCGTCTTTGTCTTTAAGGGGGTCGGGGAAAGGAGCTGCAAGGAATAGGAGTATATTTTCATGCTGATTTAGCAGCTCTGTTGCATTTTCTGCTGTACTGATCAAATAAAGGCAGGATGAGGAGAATGGGAGTACATTTGCACCTTGATCATCTGCAGTTTACCATGTGGCATTGAGGCAGGCCTTTGATTCACATCAAAGCTTTTTAATTTGGCTCGGGAAAGCAAACCTGGCAACGCTCAACACATGCTGTACAGGCAGATCACAACAAACGGTGTAAATACAAAAGTGAATCAACATTAAATACATGACCTCTCGGATCACTTAATAAGCAATGCTTCGCCATGATTCTAAAGATAAAAGTGAAGCTAGCTTTGGTTGACACAGATCGTTGGGTTCAAACTGAGGTCAGTGGTGTTTGTTACGTAACTTGGGAGTGAATTGAAACACTAAATGTGTACTTACAGTATTATTTGCAGAAGAAAACACAGAACATTCTCTTCCCATGGTACAAAAATAAAGCCCACATGAAAAATAAATGATCTCTCTTCTTAACAAACAGCAGATCCTTACATAGAGGTTAATGGATAATAAAAAAAAAAAGAATAACTATATTCTACCGAGTCAGATGGTTCTCCGGGGTCACAAGCATTAAGTTACACACAATGGAGGCTTACACACTAGAATGCCTAACACAACAGTCGGACGCGACAACTTAGGGCGCGGTCACACAGGCCATCTGTACCGTGCCGTACTCAAGCACGATTGAGACTGCGCTATTCCCACACTGGCCGGCGCAGACCACGGTCACACTACACAGGACTATCCATGCTTAAGCACGATAACCTCTTGTACATAACGTCGTAATACAGCACATGCACGCTTTATGTTATTATGCAGCGTGCTCAGTTTATAAACAGGCGGAGAGAGAGAGAGAGAGAGAGAGAGAGAGAGAGAGAGAGAGAGAGAGAGAGAGAGAGAGAGAGACGCAGTCGAGTCCGCGTCTGCACGTCAAAGAACTACACAGAGAACATGACAGCTACTTTGTGGCTAATATTGTGTCATTTTAGTCAAATACAGACATGAAACTCTGGATTTCTCCATAATGAAGGTTGTCAACTAGACTTTAGGGTTGAAGCGTGCTTGGGCACAGTACGGATGGGCCAGTGTGACCGCGCCCTTAGGAACATCTTAGGGCTTACTTAAGTGACCCTCCATGAAGCTAAACAACAGAAATTGGTGCTACACTTACCTAATGTTAGATATGTTTGAAGTAGCTTAGCATGATTATGGGATTCATGTTGCTAATGAATTATATGTTATATGAAACAAGAACAAGTTATATGAAAGAACAGGACTTGTTAAATCATCATAATGATTTTAAATCCTTATTATTTTACACTGTTGAGCGTCAAAGTGTTACATAAAGAACATGCTGCACTGAAATACGACATTCAATATAATACAAATTGCACAAGTCAAATAAGAAGTCAAAAAAGTCAACATGTGGTTCCTTTTTAGATGACTAAAGCTGGAAGAACTGGATTGAAAAGTGACCAGAAAAGCACATTTGGGAGAATCAGGCTCAACCACTGAGGAATATTAACTTTAAAATTCAAATCGTTCAAATAAAATTGAGACAAGAAATTACAATGATTTACTTTTGAAACTCACTTTTTCAAACTACTTTGAAAATTGTACCACTTACATGTATTGTGACTTGTATTTGCTAACTGCAGAATAAAGCCTGTGACACAGAAGAGGTCACCATGTGAAGGACAGAAACATGTCCACATGAACAAACTAATTGCCTGATATAAACCGACTCAAGTCGTTAGCGCGGTTGTATTAAGTCATAACCAATAACCGTCAATACTTCGATTATTAGACTTTTTGTTTTGCATGTCAATGAAAAATCAAAGTGTGTGATGCACTCTTTCTAAATACTGACCACGTGAACCACTTCTGGGTAAATGGGTTCTGTGATGACATTCCTGTTGTGGGTGATGTACTCCACCATCTCGCTCAGTGCTGCCCGTTTCACCTCCTTCCATTTCAGATCACTCAGTGGGTCCGAAACGAAATCGAAGAGGACGCAGCACTGCCGCAACTTCTGGATGAACAGCTTCTCCTGCTCTGCCGGGGGAACATCTACAAGACAAGAAAGGGAGGTTAGAATCAACATCAGCATGATCCTTGTTTTGGGGGGAAATTTCAACATATGATAAAAAACTAAGTATATCCCACAATCACTGCCATGGACAAGCGAGGGCTGCTCCATTACAAAAATCCTAATCACAATATGTTTTGTTTGATATTGAGATTACGATTTTCATACATGGTTACTCATTCATTTTGCAACATCTGGATCACATGCATTTATCAAACTTAATATAATGGTAGGGGAACACTGACTCTGAACTCTGAACAAATTATAATAAAAAAATAAAGCTTAACTATGGTAACTTTGGAAACAGAATTTCCTCTTGCGGGGATCAATAAAAGTAATTCTTCTTCTTCTTGTTCTTAAAGAAGTGGTGATGAACTGTTTATCGCCAAAATGTAACAACAAACACATCAGCCAGACATAAACAAAAACTTCAAATCAAAAAAGAGCTCAACATGAAACTTGACATCGATCGACACGCCTGATGCTGTGGCACGGTGGCACCTGACGCTGTCTATTCTTGAAGATTCAAAAGTAGTTAAGAGAACACAATTCAACTCGGCCTCAAGTACTATTGATTTGTTTAAAGATGATTCGTTTGTTGCCATAGTAATTCTTGCAACAAAATAAAAATCATTGTCATTTATTTTTCTACTGCCTCTCCTGGCTTGCATTCAGTGACTATGAGAACCAAATCGTCAACATTATTCAGGTCAGGTACAGCTGTAATTTGCTACTTCAGAGTTCATGTAGTGACATGAAGGCACTTCATTTAAAGACTTCATGAATCAATAATTCAACCTCACACTGACAGCATCACCACCGCATCAATGATGCAGAGTTTCTAAATCTGCCTCTGGGATTACTGAGCCACACCTGCATGTGTATAATCATTAACCTGCAATTTAAAAATCATTACACGTTTTTGTAGAGACCTCACACTCACTGTCAGAGCCAGCCTTCATTCTGTGCCTGTGTGTTGAGCATTATCACCAAAACAGCAGCTGCTTCCAATTAATCAATGATTAGCTCTAATTATGCACAACACTCATACTCAGCATAATATGAAATTAATTAAAGCTAACAAACAAACATGATTTGAAATAAAATGAGAGGAATATAAATAAGATTGAGACAAGACGTCATGTTGTACATTTTAAAATATATCCAGCCTTTAAACAACCCTCTCACTTCTCTGTGACTGTGCCAGAAGCTGAGAGCTCAGGAGCTAAATACAGAATCAGCCAGGAGTTCTGTTCTGCACTTTGGCACCGTTACAAGTCTGTTCCCAAAGGACCCAAAGGGCTTTCCCAACTTGTACACAGAAAATATGTCAAACACATAAGATGCTCAAGGCCAAGTATTTCTTTATAAACAAGATAAAGAGCTATTCTGAGACTACATGAAACAGTTGCAGGCATTAGGGGGAAAAAAATATTATGTGTACTACTGGCTGCATAGTTCTGGGTCAGGTGTTTGTAATGTATGGGCTTTTGAAAAGACAAGATGGCACTACAAATGGCAATTTATATACTTCTTAAAAATCATGTAACCTGAGTTGTTCAGATTCTCAAGATATAACCAGCCTATAGTAAAAGCATTCATTTGCTCGTCACAGCCTGTGATTTATGAGTCACTTAACTTTGCATTAACAATCTACAGGTATACAGCACATCACCATGGTAACCACAGGCACAGACAGGACTTTGGACCAGGGGGATGACCACTGCTAATCAGAGATGAATGCAGGGGGCTGTGGTTGTTACACTGCGATCATCTGCTGCTGATTAGCTAATCCAATAGGCTGTGGCCAAGAGACGTGTCAGCCACACAGACCATTTCAACGTGGATTATGCCAACTGGAGAGTTCCCAACACCAACCAGTCAACACTTTTGTGTTGAAACTATTTTGTGTTATGTTAAAAAATAAAGCAAGATGAACGCCAAAACAAATAGGACTAAATAAAGAAAAGGTTATGAAGTTAAAGGATGTAGCATGATGACATTATGGAACACCATGTTGCAATAAATAGATACAATAATGCTGCTCTTTACCCTTTTAGGTGCATTTAGATATAGCAGTGTTTCCCACACATTGACTATACTTGTGCATGCCACCCATGTATACAGCCGCCCAGTTACACTTGCCACCCATATTTTAATTTTTATTTTTTGTTAATCTGCATTTGATCGCCAACTAAGACCAATAAACTAATGGGCGATCTGCACTTGCTTTATACCCATCGAATGTAGCGTCTTCTCTGCAGGCAGGATGAGGCAAAATATGGCAGACACAATTTCTATGCCGGTGTATTTTGCATCCACCATTTAAGTTCCTCTTCAGACACTTTAGAGACAAACAATGTCAGTGCTCACTGCTCATATTTATGCAGGCTAACAAAAATGGGTCTCCACTGAACAATTTGGACACATAAAATGTAATAAGTACAACATCCAGATACTTCCTCATCACAGATCTGCCCCCAGAAATAAGTGTTATATCATTTAAATACTGTTCCATGAAGTGCACGCAATTCTCAGCAGGCATGCGCTCCTCGGCATAACACTGGTATCGATACCGGTTAACCGCCTACTAGAAGTGTGCAAGAAAGATGCTGTGCAAGGAATCCTTGATCTGTATAAATTCATTTTGTTTTGAAAATTGCCTTGACAGTATGTGGAGTCATCGGTACAAACATTGTAGTTGATAGAAGTAAAAATGTAATTACTGTGCACTCATGGAAGTCCACTTCAAGAGATAGAGAATAGACGTATGCACACTCCCACACAGGCTAGAGCCTGAGCCAAGGACTGATAGAACCAACAAGGACTTTCCCTACACCTCCACGTTTCTGAGTCACAGCAGCTCTGCAGATTACAATGTGTAACATGAACTGCAGCTACCTGTGTGCTACCTGAAAATGGCACTTTCTTTTGCTTTAGCCTACATACGGCTCCAACAAGATATACTTTATTACATGGCCATGAAGAAAAAGCGGTCCGAAAATATCTTAATAGCCTGGGTTTCCTGAGGTGGTGGGTGAGGCATCGTACAGTTTGTCCTTTGACTGTGTGCCTTTAGGGCTTGCTTGTACAGTTACTGCAGAACGGAGAGTCAAGACAACTGATACCAGAACATTTTATGTCTATATTCAGACATATTGAAAAACATTGATCTGTATTTAGCTTTACGATAAGTATAATTCTTCACTCCATCTTTACAAGTTAATAGCCACACACAGAATCTAAAGGATTGCCTCAAAGGACAAACAGCTAGCAGTGTGCTTCACCCATGAGCTTTGGCTAAGACTTCCCTGGAGAAACCTAATGGGATGTGTTTTGTTTCAACACTGATCTGACTTCCTTTGAAACAACAATGAAATTGCTGCCACATGCAAAAATGACACTTTTAGGGTAAACTTGCTACAACCTTCGGTGACTGATCATTGCTAATATTTCCTTCCCTTTTATTTACCGAGACAGGGCCTACAAAAAGGGTATAGTATGTTTTTTTTGTTTTGACGTTAACGGGCAAAGGCAAGGCGTTACATCTAAAGTGCCACAAAATGTCCATATAGTTTTAACCACACCATCAGCACCTTGCTGCAATGAGCTGTACAAGCTCCAGTTACAAAACAACACTAGGGTTTCTGAACAGACCTAAAATATTAAGGGACATGCTGTGAAACTGCAGACTTCACACACAGGCCTCTCTGCATGGATGGGCATATAACCTTTACTCATCTGAAGGCTCCTGTGTGCACACAGGGAAACAGTCCAGTGCCGGTTATTTTTATTTGATATGTGATTAAGAAAGTGGTGCTGGTTTCAAAAAGTTTGTTCATATTCTGTTTTCATGCAGACATATACCATCTGAGAAAGGACAAGTGACTGTGTGCTATCATGCTACAACACAAGACCAAAATCTCACCAGAAATAGCACTTGTGTGCAATAATAACATTTAAGTACATGTGCACTGCCACATCTGTTTCTATACAAGGTAATACATGAACAAATATTACCCTTTGATTTATAACACTAAAATACTCTTCAGAGGCACACTAACTTTCATCTAGACTCAGTTTGTGTTCCCGTGTTGAGCATGGGAAGTTGCAGGTTGCAGCTTATCGCTTGTGTGGTTAGAGGATAACTAACCAGCAGCAACATGCAGAACGTTTCAACTTGCACGAGTGTCAGCTGACCCCACACCCATACACAATACAATACAGATGCACAAACTGACAACAAGCTTTGACCTCACTACCAGTGACATCAGCAGTCTTGATGGGGGGATGGGAGGCTGAAAAGTAGCACTCCTTCTCACTCTCTGGCCCTCCCTTTCTGACTGAAGCTAGGCTATGCGACGTCTTGGCGAAACCCTTCCTTGTTGACATACAAACACAAACCCCCACTTCCTCTTCCAAAAATACTCCTCCCACCAACACAAAGAAGTAGAACGCTCTCAATGTCTTGCAGCAACTTTAAAAGAAAGTCCCTTGACATAATTATTTTCTTCTGCAAAATCTGAAGTAGCAGCTTTAGTTGCTAAGTGACAACAACATTCTTGCCCATCTCCCCTTGAAACACATAAACATAGCAAAGCAGAGGAGGCAAATTTCCTGCTCTCACCTCTAAAATGCATGAGGGCCACAGGCTGGAAAGGCCCATTACAGCTCGGTGCATCCAGAACCATCCCGCTGGTAGCTCTAGTACATGCCAACATCAGAGAGCGAAGGCAGGAGACAGGGGAGGAGAGGGCAGCCCAGGCTACGGCAAGCAGACAGCCTCCATTTTAGCATGAACACTCGGAGCAGAAAATGAAGCTCCCCTGCTGCTGGAGGGAACCAGCTAGTTAGTGATGTCATAGCTCAGTGCAGCAGCTCGGTTGGCCGGCTGCAATCACATGGGCCGGGCTGTCGCAATAAATAAACATGAGGGAAGGGATTGGCTGGTGGGCAGGGGGAGGGACTGTTGATGTGATTG